CACTAATTGTACACAGTGAGATGAGCTTATTCATAACCCCTCTCCTTGGGTGTTTCTTCTAGCTGATTGGTTATATTCTATGCATATGAGGGTCTGTGAAACCAACTAATCGGATTGCGAATTCCTTATGTAACCAAAGATTTGTGGCATAGCCAATCAGGATAAATATGTAAATGAAAGACCAATGAATGGTTTTGATTCATCTGTTTCCTTCCTCCTCATTTCCTGCCTGTCAGTTCGTCCCACTAGAAATTAAGTAAGGTAAGGTAAAGGTAAAGGCCCTCCCGTTGATCGTTGATTTGCTCGAGCGGGCCCAGTAACGTCTCCATTGGAGACTTTGTTGTTACTGTGTCTGGCATATCGAGTACCTCACGGGTAGCTTGCCAGGCTCTGCCGTGCGGGCGAGATACTCTCGGTAGCTTGCCGGGCTCTCCGAGAGGGGCAGAGGAATCGAACTCGGGTCGGCCATGTTGGCCGCTTGTAAGGCGAATGCCCTACCGCTGTGCTATCGCTCCAGAAATTAAGTAAGATATCGCTCCAGAAATTAAGTAAGATAAAATAATTTGTTCCACTTATCTACTGCTAGGTAATGAGCCATCCCAAAGTTTCATGGCATAAAAATAATCATCACGTTTTTAGGATAAGGAACAAAAAAATATTTGGGGTCACAGCTAAGATTATTTGAACATCTGGGGTGACAGAATGGTGGGGGTGAAGATACTTTCCAGGTGGCTTTTCACATAACCTTTGGATGCCTAGACTGATGGGGTATGTGGAAGGAAAGGTAGTTGGGCTCAACTGTTGGCTGCAGAGCCTGTATTTGCCCCTCTGTCACAGAGGTACCATGATTGTTAGATTTCTTCCTGACATTTCAAGACTGCAATAATACTGATCCTATGAACAAATACCAATATATATATATTTTTATAAGCAGCTTGAGAAGCCACAGACCTCCACTTTCACTGCATTCTATGTGTTGAAATAATGGAAGCTTGCCTGATTCAAGGTAAGAAAGTATGTAAGACTTTCCAGGCTTTGTTTTAAAAGCATCCCACAATCAGAAGCATATGGGGGGATTCCCTTACAATGAATTCCTTGTGTCAGTGAGGTCTAGATTTGGGTGCATAGGACAGAAACTCCATAGAAACAGTGATGTAAGGAACTTAAGAGACAGCTCAGCACATAGCCTTGCAAGTTTGATCCCTGGCACTCCACATGGACCCACAAGCACCATCAGGAATGACTCCTGAGTGCAGAGTCACAAGTAACCCTTGAGCATCACCAGTGTGACCCAAAACCAAACCAAACAAAATCAAAACAAACAAACATAAAAACCCAGTGATTTAATACAGAGATCAGTTTACGCCTCTCAAATAACAAAGCCCGGAAAGAGGTCATGTGGAAGGTTCACTGACCACACGTAGGGGGATCTGGGCTCCTTTTGCCATGTTTCTCCATGTGTAGTGCATGGCTTTTTCCTCATGATTAAAGATGGATGCTTTTGCTCAAACTTTCATAGACACACCCAGCCAGCAGAAAGAAGGATGGTTTCTTTAAGGGCATTACTCAAAAGACTTGCAAGATGCCGCAACTTATTTGGTTTATTGGCTGCAAATCTAGTCACATGACCATGCATTATAAGGGAGGCTGAGAAATCTCGTCTTTATTCTGGAAGACCATGTATCCGAGAAACAAATCTATAAGTAAATAGAAAATTAAGGAATTCTATTGTTCAGTGAGAGGAGAATGGATGGATACTGGCAAACATACGACAGTTTCTGTCTTGTCTTCTATTTTTATTTTTCTTTGTTGTTTGGTTTTTACACATGGTGCTGAAATTTTTCCTGGCTCTGTGTTCAGGGAGGTGATGGGGATTGAACCTGGGTTGGTTGCATAATAGGCCTTACCCACGTACTAGCTCTCTGACCCCAATCCTCCTTTCTCTCTTGTATTTTTAGTTCTGCTGTTAACTGTGGATCCAGATAATACTCTGCCTTGTTCCAATTCCCCTGAAGGAGGAAGGAGGGTGCTACAATTAAATAAGGAAGTCTAAAGTGTTAAACAGATAAACTTGCTGACTTGCTATGATTTCAGAGTGGAAAATGGTGGCACCACCCATCCTCCTTTGGACTTTCCTGGGTGGTTTCCTAGGGTTTCTGGATGTTTAACTCCAAATTCAATGATTACTGAAGCCCTTCCAGCAAGGAGACTGGACAAAGAGTTTGTGTTGCTGCATTCGGAAGGAAATTCTCCTGTGCTACTCACTTTGAGCCCTCTGGTAGTTACCTCAGGAGTTCAAATATACACGAGTGAGTGGGTGTGGGACACAGAGTCCAAAAGCCTTTGAGCATTATCCCTGTGTCTGAGTGCCGGTGTCATGAAATGTCCACAACTCATGCTCTATATCCCTTTAATTCTTTTTGTTACAAGGTCATGGGGTGAAATGAATGCGATCCGCTGTGCCAAATGAGGGTAGTGTTAAAGATTGAGCTGGGTTCCCCTAACCACACGGTTAAGTCATATATAGTGAAGTTCTAATCATGGGTACCTGTGAGTGCGGTCTTTTGGGGTTGTCCTAGAATTAACGCAAGGTCATTAGAGAAGGCCCCAATCCTATAGAACTAACCAGTGTCCATAGAGGCAGAGTAGAAGGGCAGCAGAGACACACCAGGTGGCAACTGAAGATTTCAATGATGTATCACTAAATCAATGGTACCAAGAGTTGCCAAGAACAGCAGAAAGTATGAGAAAGGTAGAGAGCCGATTCAGATTCTCCCTTAGTGAAGAGAGAGAGACAGAGAGAGAGACAGACACACAGATACACAGATACACAAAGAGCTTGGGCCCCTAGCTGAACTACTTGACTTCTAATCTCCGCAGTGGGAGGGAACCCAGTTCTGTCGTTTTCAGATGTTTGGTGTATGGTCCTGTGTCATTACCGTCCTCATAAACTAAAAGAGAAGTGTTTTAATGTGTCACCTTGGCTAGGCTTGACTGCATCAGACATTAACCTTGCTGTTACAATCTGTAGACGCTAAAGAAGGGGGATTATCTGGGTGGGGCTGATCCAGCCATTTAAAGTCCTGGAGAGCAGAAGAGAGATTGCCCTACAAAACCTATCCTTCCTGTGGGATGGCTGCATCACTTGCTGCAGTGTTATCCTGCTTTCTCATAGCCTGCCCTACACACCATGAGGGACAGGTTTAACCAGCCCTCATCATTTTGAAAATCACTTTCTTATAATGAATCTCTTAATCTATCCCTGATTCATTGCTTCAGTGGGACCCTGAATAATACACAAAAGAGTAATACGAAAATAAAATAGATACGTTTGTCAAGGCTATGAAATCACAGAAGGCTTCACAGAGGAAGTGATATTGTGCGGGGCCTTAAAAGGTGGGCAGGGGTTTCCGTCATCAAGAGTGACCTCACAGAGTTTGCAAGTAGTTTTCAGGGCCTTTCCTGTTCAGCTGAGGCTTCAGCATTTGTCTGAGAGCTATAAAGTCTCCCTTTACTTATTTATTCTGGTTCTGGAGCCATGCCCAGCTATGATCGGGGCTCACTCTAGTTTTGCGCTCGGGGTTATCCTTGGTAGCATTCAGGAGACTCTGCAGTGCTGGGATCAAACAAGGGTTGGCTGCATGCAAGGCAAGGACCTTAGCCCCCAAACTGTCTCTGCAGTCCAGATGAGATGATCTTTAAACACACACACACACACACACACACACACACACACACACAATCTGGGACCTGAGAATGATCCCTGAGCACAGAGCCGGAAGTAAGCCCTGAGTAGTGCTGGATGTGACCCTCACCCCATTTCAAAATTCTTTGTTCTGTCTTTATCTTTCTTTTTAAATGGGGATAAAAGTTTCAGAGTTCACATGACATGCCTTAAATCGGCTTGAATGTTTAAATCAGCTTGAACGCTTATGTATTATATAAATCCTTGTAATCCCCACCAAAATCAAGATACAGAATCAGAATGGGATTAATAAATCCTGCAAGTACAGGGCTACTGAACATTTTGATATTTTGTTCATCATCCAGTTTTTTTTTTTTTTTTGCTGAGTGTTCAGGGATCACTCCTGCAGGCTCAGGGGATCAGAGATGGAACCCAGGTTGGTTTCAAGCACCCTACAAGCTGTGCTATTGCTCTGGCCCCCTTTTGACATTCATTTTGATGAAAAAAAAATACTGCTTATTATGATCACTGAGTTTCTTTGGTTCTCTTGGAGAAAGCCTAGTGCTTGTTCCAATCTTGACCCTGTTGAATATTTCTAGCACCCCCCACTCTCCCTTCTTCCCTCTGTCTCTCCCCAGGAAGCCCCTCACCAAGACCAGGGTTTTTGCTTAACAGCGATGGGTGGCCAGTGCTGTGGGGCGATGGCCTTGGGTTACGGGGGTGTACACCCATCTGCGCTCTCATGCCCTGCGGCAGTTTTTGGGAAGTGCCTACTGAGTGAGGAATCAGAGGATCCCGAGGGGAGGAGCCGGGGGTGGGTGGGTCTGGGACCCTGATCCCAAACCCTTGTCCCAGTGCCCCACTGCGCCTCAGTTCCCGCATCCGTCAGACGGAGCGGACCATCCTGCAACTTCCTCATGGGGCAGCGTGCGGGTCTGAGGCGTTGAGGTTCGGAGAATTAATTGCTAACACCCCGCGGGGTGGGTGCGCTCAGCCCGCATCTCGGGCACTGGCCCCGCGCGCGCCTCGCACTGGGGCTTGGGCTTTCCGGCCTAGACGTTTCCGTGAAGACGCCAGCGCGGCGCCGAGGGCGTGCGAGTCCTTGCAAGCCCACGCGCCCACGTGGGTGGGGGTGGGTGGGGACCCGGCGCCCGTTGGCCCCGGGCCCGGCGGGCGGGGCGCGCGGGGAGGGGGCGGCGCGCAGGTGGGGCGGGCCGGGGGCGGGGCGCGGCCGCGCGCGCGGTTCCGGGATCCGGGTCCCCCGCCCGCCCGCGCCTCGGGGGCGCGCCGAGCGCGGGTCGCGGCTGGCGGGCGCATGTGGGGCTGCGCGCGGTGGCGGGGCTGCCCGCGGGGGCTGCGGCGCGGCCGAGGGGGGCTGCTGCTGCTGCTGCTGCTGCTGCCGGCGCTGGCGCTGCTGCTGGCGCTGGCCGGGCTGGGCTCGCTGGGGCGCCCGCGGCTCGGCTCCCCGGGGTTCGTGGCACCGCCGCGCGCCTCCCGCTCCGCGGCGCGGCGCGCCCCGGTCCTGCCCCGGCCGCCCGTGGCCCCGAACGCGCTGGGCGCGCAGGGCGAGGCGGTGCGGCTCTCGCTGCAGGGCGAGGAGCTGCGGCTGCAGGAGGAGAGCGTGCGGCAGCACCAGATCAACATCTACCTCAGCGACCGCATCTCGCTGCACCGCCGCCTGCCCGAGCGCTGGAACCCGCTGTGAGTCTGGGCGCGCCCCCGCCCCCCACCCCACCCCCACGCCGGCCGTCACCCCACCTGTCGTCCGAGCGGGGCCGTGACAGGGCCCTCTCGCGGAGCCCTGTCGCGGCCCCGCCGGGGGGAGGAAGTTGGGGAGCACCGGAGACAGGACGGTCTCCGAAGTGGGCGCCTCTGTTGCTAGCTGGGCTCTTGGACACGCCCACACCTGCAGCTCCCTCCAAAAAAAAAGGTTGTCGTTAACGGTCTCGGACGTGGGTCCCGCTTAAGCAGACCCGTTGAAGGCCAGACTCCCCTTCCGGGTGCTCTTCTGAGCCCCCAGGCAGCTGTCGCTGCGGCGACGCTATCTGGGAGCCTAGCGGTTGAGACGTGCCCCATTCATTTCCGTGTGTGCCAGCCGGTGCCCAGAACTTCCTAGAAGAGACGGGCATGCCCGGCAGGTGAGGAAAAAAGTCCCAGGCGGCAGCTTCTGGCGTCCCTCTGGTGGAGAACGAGGCCGCAGGAGGGAGATGCGGGTGGGGACTCGGGACCGGGACCCAGCTCTTTGGGGGGGGGGGGGGGTACACAAGATCAAGTCCCTGTGCTGGGAAGCCTAGTTCCCGGGGAAGAAGGGACATCCTCCTGCCCTGCCTTCTCCTCCTGTCCGCTGGCTGGGATCTTCCAGGCCCCTGTTGGAGGCACCCCCTCTCCTCAACTGTTTGGTAGTTGGGCCGGTACCCCCCCACCCCTACCCCAGGGCGTGCTCCTGGCCGTGCTCATGGAATTCTAAGTGGTGGTGCCTGGGACAAAGGCTGGGGTTGCCAGAGTGGATCCTGGCTCATTTGTCCAGCAGCTCTGTGTTCTTGAGCCTCTTGCGTGGCCTCTTTGAGCCTCAGTTTCCCCCGTTTGCAAAATAAGGAACAAGTAGAAATAAAGTTTTTAGGAGTTAATAATAAAAACAAAAACAAAAACCCAGTGTATGGGCCTGCATTGGGTTTTCCCAGTTCTCACCAGCTTTTCTTTCTTTCCTCGTTGCCGGTTTTCTTTCTTTCCTCGTTTTCCTTTTGAAGCTGCTTCTGATTGTGAGCCAGAGATCAGTCATAAAGTCTGTCTTTTCCTGGTTCTGCTTCCTGTATGGCTTCAGTTGTGACTCTTTGAAAAGCACTGGATGACCCATGGGCCTTATGATATCCCGTCTCCATGGTGATGTGCCGCCATGGGTCCTGTCAGGATTTGGGTGTAGATCCTGCTCTTGTATTTACCCAGGGAGGTTAATCCGAACCCAGCGGGATAAGGAATGTGTCTGCAGCCTGCCTTTGATTCTGCAGCGGGGCCTCTGGGCTTGCCAGTGTCCGCCGCAGGGACACTGTCTGAGTCAGGCTCCATCAGCCCAAATCTCCAGGCCCAGCTTCTGTGTGGGTTGGGACCAATAGTTGCTACAGGTCTCAAGACATAGCCTGAGAATCTAGAATGGCACATCGGGAGTGCACTTGTGGGGTGTGGGGTGGAACAGGTGTGAGCCTGGGGAGTGGACTGGGCAGAGGGTGGGTCACGAGTGGAGAATACGGCAGGAGGGAGGGCCCCAGGGAAGGTCCAGTCTAACCAGAGTAGAAAAGCCGATCTACAACCCTGAACTGTTTTGTTTCGTGTTGAGGTCAGGGGAGGGAGTACAGCTGACTGTGCTCAGGGCTTACTCCTGACTCTGTGCTCTGGGGTCCCTCCTGGTGGGGGCTTGGGAACATATGCAGTGCAGAGGATCAAACCAGGATGGATTTATTCAAGTCATGGGCCTTACTTCCTGTTGTATGATTTTTTTGGGCACACTCTTTCTCTTTCCATCCCTTCCTCCCTCCTTCCATTTCTCCGTCCCTCCCTCCCTTCTTCCTTTCCTCCCTTCCTCTCTTCCTCTCCCTCTGGCCACACCTGATAGTGCTTAAGGCTTACTCATGACTCTGTGCTCAGACATCACTCCTGGCAGTGCTCAGATACTCAGCTTTGTTCCCTCCCTGCTCTCAGGGTGGAGAATATTTTTTATTTGAGTGATAAAAGCAGTGCAATGTTCCCATTAGACGTTTGGAGAAGCAGCAATAAAAATGCACCTCTCAACCTGTCTCTCTACCCATTCAGGAAGAACTCCGTTAACATTTTGCTGTGGATATTTTGTTGTTGTTGTTTGGGGAACACAGCTGCCGTGCTCATTGTGGTGCTGGGGATTGAAGCTCGGAAACTGGCATGGAAACATGTACTCCAGCCCGCTGGGCTATTTTCTGTGGATCTTTTTAGATATTTCCAGATAGAGAAATAGATTTTGAGGAAAAGAAAAAAAAAGTACCATATGGACCAGTGGCTGAGAATATACTCAAACACAAATCTACATACCAGAAAGTCCACAAGCTCTGTGTGTGTGCATGCGTGTGTGCGTGTGTGTGTGTGTGTGTGTGTGTGTGTGTGTGTGTGTAGGTTTTTGGGTCCTGTTTGCTGATGCTTGGGGAACTGAACAGGGATGGAACTTGGGTCTTCTGCTTGCAGAGCAGGGCCTCTAGCCCTGTGAGCTAGCTCTCCACGCACACCTCCCCCCACATAACCGGTGGTGGTACCGGGGTGTATAATGTTCTGCCACAGACATGGAATTGTGAACGTTCCAGGCATAGCTTGGCTCTGGCTCTTTCCCATGTAGGTGAACCTTTATTAGGTTTCTTTTGACTGGAAGTGACAGAAAACCCAATACAAACGGTCTTAAGTGAAACAGAACAACCTGAGTCAGGAGAGAGTGTACCTGTCCGGGCGTGTGCCTGACACTTGTCTAGCCTGGGTTCCATTCCCATCACCACCCTGAGCTTCGCAGCCCTAGGGACCCCCAACACCACCGAGTGTGACTTGCAGGCCCCAAGCAGCGTCATACCCCTTGGCCCTTGAATTCAGATAGTGGCCCTGTTAGCCCAGCATTGCCCATGGGACTCCTGAACCTTCTGAGCACAGCTGGGGAAGCCTCCCATCCTCCCCAAAACACAAACGTAAAAAAAAATATCCTACATCCGTACAGGAAAGTTGGGCTTCAGATGATTCCCTTGAATGGAGCAGCTCATCTGTCAGGAAGGCGTTGGTTAGTGAGGCCAGGTTTGTGGTCCTAGATGCCACTGGGTGTCTATGTCTCTGTGTGTCTTCACACATGTATATCTCTGTACCCGTGTGTGTGTGTGTGTGTGTGTGTGTGTGTGTGTGTTCAACCCTCCACAGACACCTCTCCCCACAAACTGACTGAGAACTGGGGAGCAGGTTCTGGAAAGAGAAATCCAAGAGCATGAGGGAAGGAGGAGAACTCTGGGCACATGACACACACCAGTGCTCAGTCTTGTATCCTGACCCACTGGGCAGGAGCCGCGCGTTTTTTGTTTTTAAGGCGTTTATCTAATGATTGGCAAAGAAAAAGAAGACAAGGCCAGCCAGTGCCTGCACTGATTCTTTATGTCCAAGTAGTCCTCGGCAGTGCACCTGGAGATGGGGGTTCCAGTCCACTGGGGCTGTTAGGAAGGCGAGTGGGCCACCGCACACAGTGGTCAGTGGCATCACTCCATGTAAGCTCTGGACAGGAAGTGTTAGTGTTGCTATGAGGTGCCCAGAACACAGATCAGGACTCAGGTCAGCGCCTTCCCTCACACGATACCAGCAAGTTAAAGAAGGCACAGCCTGGCACAGGAGATAGGGTAGGAGATAAGGCCCGGGCCTTGCCTAGGCCACAATGGCTGGGACCCGGGCACACTTATGGGATCTCTGAGCACTGCCAGGGGTCACTTCTGAGCACAGATCCAAGAACAGCCCCCCAGACCATGCTGGGGATATGGCCAGAGAGAATAGTTGAGGTGATAAGGTTCTTATCCGGCGTGTGGGCAACCCTGGTTTGATTCTGGCACCACCTATGGCCCCCTGAGTCCTGCCAGGAGTGATCCCTGAGCACAGAGCCCCGAGCACCCCTGGGTGTGGCCCCCAAACAAGAAAAGAAAAAGAGAAAGGAATGCATGGCTTGCTGTGACTTCTGTGAACTTGGCTCTGAACCTCTTTTGTCCCCTAGGCAGGAGCGGAACCGTGACTCAAAATCTCACTGTCCTCTTTGGATGGATGGACACACACAGCTTGTTATCAATCAGTACACAAGGGGGAACTGTTTTTTTTTCCCCCCTGGGAAGCAAATTAGAGACATTCTGAAGAGGGTATATTGAACTTAAGGCAGGAGAAAGCCACAGGCATAAAGAAAAAGGCAGAAAGTCCCAGGCCAAGAGAGAAAAAGGAGAGGGCAGAAAATAGAATGACTGGGGCTGGAGCGATAGCACAGTGGGTAGGGCGTTTGCCTTGCATGCGTCTGACCCGGGTTCGAATCCCAGCATCCCATATGGTCCCCTGAGTATCGCCAGGAGTGATTCCTGAGTGCAGAGCCAGGCTAACCCCTGAGCATTGCCGGGTGTGACCCAAAAAGCAAAAAAAAAAAGAAAAAAAAAAGAATGACTGCTCAGTGAAGTCATTGGCAATGGACTACTGAAGAAATAGGATCTAGCTTTTAAAAAGTGCTCTTTCTTTGTGATTATGAGAACAGCACATGTTTGCTGTAGAACCATTTGAGAATGCTATTAAAAAAATATGCAAAGAAGGCGGAGGTTGCCATCACCCACTGCTGACCATTGTTCACATTGGTGGCGTATTTCTTGCCCTTGTTTATTGTGGCTGGGTGAGCTGTCCCCACGCCCTCTGTGTTGATTGTAGAACAGGCCTCACGCTGTTCCTCAGTCGGGCCCTGCTTCCTGGGATGCGGCTTCACAGCATCATCATCCTCTTTCATTATTGCTGTTTTCTTACTGGGGGTCCGGGGCCGCTTTTGAATAATGCTCAAATCCCGGGATCCCATAGGGTCCCCCGAGCAGTGCTAGTAGTAATTCCTGAGTGCAGAGCCAAGAGTACCCCCTTAGCACTGCCAGGTGTGACCCAGAAAGCAAAAAAAAAAAAAAAATCCAATGGTGCCCAGAAGGTCTAAGGGTTCTGCTGCTGATTCTCCACCGGCTGGGCTGGGGGGTTCAGTGCAAGGGTCTCAGGAAGCTTTGATGCTGTTTAGACACTGATACTGGGGCTGCCTGGGATACCCCAGTGATGTGGGGGCCTTCCAGGGCCACCCTGGTGGTGTTCTGGGAATCAAACTGGATCGACACATGTGCGGCCTGGGTGCTAATACAATACTGACTCCTGGTCCTTCTACTGTCAATACTACTGTCATTGTCACTGTCACTGTCCTGTTGTTCATCGGTTTTCTTGAGCGGGAACCAGTAACATCTCCATTGTGAGACTTGTTGTTGTTTTTGGTATATCAGATATGTCACGAGTAGCTTGCCAGGCTTTGCTGTGCGGGCGGAATACTCTCAGTAGCTTGCTGGGCTCTCCAAGAGGGACGGAGGAATTAAACCTGGGTCAGCCACGTGCAAGGCAAACGCCCTATCCGCTATGCTATCGCTCCGGCCTGACAATACCACCGCTACTATTATTATTATTACTAATTTTGGGCCACTACCTGCTCAGGGCTCATTCCTAGTCCTGTGCTTAGGGGAGCATATTACAGTGCTGGGGATCAGACCTGGGTCGACCTCATGCTCCCCCTGCTGTACTATCTCCAACCCCACTTTTATTATAAAATGCTCCGAATACATGGGCCTGGGATGATGCCTGCTGTTCTTCGTGTGGCCTTGCTGCTCCAGGTGGGTGGTTCCTTGCCTCTGTTGCTCTTTTTCTTGCTGGAGGTGGGCATTGTTTACAGCTGCTTGCGGTTGTAACAGGAAAGTCTTTACAACAAGCTCTTCCAGGGTATCTCTGATTAGTTTCTTAAGGAAAAAAACCCTTCGCTGTGAAGGGAGGAATATCTTAGAGCTCTGGATTGGAGTTGCTGAATCGATACTCGGTGTTGTGATTTAAGGGGATGGAAAGCCAGGCCTCCCTGGGTATTTGTGAAGAGGGCCCTTAGGGTGTTGGCGTTCACTGAGCGGCAGAAAAACACCCACGAAGGGACTGACCATACATTCCCAACTCTGTTTGGTTAATTGGAGCTGTTTTTGTTTTTTGGTTTTTTTTCCCTGCTCTTCTGTTTATTTTCATCATTAAAAAAAATCAAAAACAAGAACATCCACATTTTTAATCCAGTATTATAAGAATATGATTTCAGGCTGAACAACAGTTTTTAAAAAATTTTTTTTATTTAGATTTTTATTAGTGAAACACTATGAGGTACAGTTGTAGATTTACAAATTTTTGTGCTTGGGTTTCAGTTATACAATGATTGAATACCCATCCCTCCACCAGTACCCATTCTCCACCACCACGGATCCCAGTATCCCTCCCACCCTCCATCCCCCCCATCCCACCCTGACTCTGTGGCAAGGCATTCCCTCTTGTTCTCTCTCTCCTTTTGGGTGCTGTGGTTTGCAAAAGAGGCACTGAGTGGCATTCATGTTTGGTCTAAAGTCTACTCTCAGCACACCTCTCCCATCCTGGGAGGATCCTCCCAACACCCTTTATTTGGTGCTCCCTTCTCTATCTGAGCTGTTTTTCCTCCCAGTGTGTGCGGCTGGCCTCCAAGCCATGGAGTAAACCTCCTGGTACTTAAAACCTGGTACTCTGCTATTCTTGGGTGTTAGTCTCCTATTTTGTTACTTTATTGAGCAACAGTTTTATAAGAGGAATAAACTTTATGTGACTGTGCTTTGTATGTGACCAACCGGGGTTTACATTGCAGTATTCCCATAGGTATTCCTGAGCACCATCAGGGGTGATCCCAGAGCACAGTGCCAAGAGTAAGCCCTGAGCACTGCCGAATGTGGCCCCCCCCCACCAAACGAACACGAAGGGGAACACACTTTATTGTCACTCTCCTTTCACTCATTTCTTCTAGAATCTCTTTGAAACTAAATTTTAGCTAGACTTATTGTTTAATTTAGTTTCTAATTTTTTTTTTTTTTTGGTAAAAAAGTCTTTGTTTTCAGGCTCCCTGCAGACAGTCTTCTCTGTGTCATAAAAGCATTCATCCTTCCCGCGGCCCCGAATCAGCACTAACACAGCTTTCCTGTGTTGTCTAGCTAGGACTAAAGGGCTCATTTAATCCAGACGCAGGCGTTAGTATTTTGCGTGTAATATATAGATGTTTTCCCTTTGCTGTGACATGTTTTTGGAGGAGGGCAGCTGTTTGGGTGAAAGTGGAAGCCTGAACTTCGGGGGAGCCGTTGTCATTCACTCAGCCGAGAAAATGAGAGCTCAGCCCGGCTCAGCGTTTAGCCAAACATCGCATCCTCCTCCCTCTCCTTTCGTGTTAAAACTGTTTATTTTGGAAAATGCAAACCTGGTGGACATTTGCCAGAACAGTACGGTGTTCACTTATGTTTTCTTCCCCTGGATTCATCCATTATTCATTTCCCTTGCAATGCGCCCCCCCCACCTTGTTTACTTATTTTTTTTTCTTTCTCTCTGGCTGCGGTAATATCATTTACCTTCAGGAAGGAGTTAAGGAGGAATTATTAAAGAGAATAATTCCTTGTGACTTCAGAAATGCTCTCTACGAACAAAGACCTTCTCCTTTGGTACTGTGGCATCGTCATCAAAATCAGGAAATGCGAATGAGGTTGACTTTTCCCCCCACCTCCCCAACTTTTTTTGAATTGGACTTTTCCTCTTGGCTATACAGACATCCCTTCCCAAACATCCCCTCCTCCAAGCAGCCTTCCTGATGTCCTGCCCTGTAGTTAACCCTCCTACCCCCATCCCACTCCCCAGCCCCAGTAGCTGCTGTGTCTGTTTCATCGGCCTTGTTTGCTTCCTGGCGTGATCACTCTCTGAAATGATTTGATACGCGTCTTTCTAGATCACTGACCCCCGGATGTAAGGTCCACGGGAGAGGGTACTTTGGCTCTCTGGAGCACTGGATTCCGTTGGGAAGTTCTGGGTTTGGGGCAGATAAGGGGCCCGCTGGGAGGGTGCCCTGGCACACAGCAGGTCATGGTGCCACCCCACCCCAAGTTGGACCTCCATCTCTGTAGCCTGCCCTGCCTCCCGCAGCAGTGCTCTTCGGCCTCACCTCCCATCCCCATTTCCAGTCTCTCCTCTGGTTGGGCCCCAGGGGCCAGTCCCACATGCTCTCAAACCCAGGTCCTTCTGGCACCCCTCAGGGCTCCTCCGTTCCTCTCTCCATTTTGCTGCTGGCCACTCCTAGCTGGAAATTTCCAGGCAAGGCCCAGCTCCAGAGCCTGGAGACCAAGAGTTGGCCGTCAGTCATGGCAGAGAGGGGACGCTGTGGGTCAGGAATGAGTCCTGCAGATTCATAGACAGCTGGGCCAGACAGACGTGTTCCCGCCCCTCCTCTCCCCACAAGGCTGCCCCGTGGTGTCCACCCGTGTCCCGAGCATTCTTGTGCCCCAGCCCCAAGCCTCGCATGAGTCAAACGTGTCTGTGAGGAGACTTGGGGCGTGGGAGGAGGGGATGAGTGGAGGGGACATGAGTTTGTGGTATGCAGGAACGGGAGACGGTCGGAGGGAGCGGCAACCCCAGACAGGTGTTCTCCACACAGGGCTTTTTCCAGGTGGTTCTGGAAGGAGGGCAGGGAGGGTGCCAGGCAGAGGAGGAGAGAGCTGAGTAGAAGCTGGGCAGTGGGGTTGAAGTGGGAGTGGACAGAGGTGAAACCTGCTCAGCCTGAGGATGGAACCGTCTTCCTGTCTTTGGAGCCTGCCTAGGTTTTGGGTGGCAAAACTGTGAACGTTGCTGCCCAGCTTAAATACACAACCTCAGACCAGGGAGAGAGCTCAGGGTCAGGGGACCGTGTGCAAAGACACAGGTGCCTCCCTGGACACTGCCTGCCCCCTGGGCACCATCAAGTTTGGCTCTGGAGGATCCCATCCTGGCCCAGGGATGGCCCTGTCGCATTGGGTCTGAGCCAGGTTCATCATTGGGCCATCTGTCCCTGGAGGCCATGTCAACAGTACGACTTCGTGGGTGACCCAGCCTGCCCTTACCAGAGTGACTTCAGGCTTTTTGGGTGTTGTTGTACAACCTTTCTTGGGAGCTACCGAGGCTTCCAGGAGGCTCCAGGGCAAAGCATTTCTAGAAGATGCGGCCAAATTCTATGGCAGGTCTCAACCATGATTGACGTTCCCTTCAGAGGTCCTTCGAAGCACCGTGCCAGGCCTGGGATGCCCCGGTGCAGGGTGTTCCCCGTCCCTGAGGCTGTGTTGCTTCTGCAGGTGCAGAGAGCAGAAGTACAATTATGAAAGTCTGCCAACGACGTCCGTGATCATCGCGTTTTATAACGAAGCTTGGTCAACCCTCCTTCGCACCGTTTACAGTGTCCTCGAGACGTCCCCAGACATCCTGCTGGAGGAGGTCATCCTGGTGGATGACTATAGTGATAGAGGTACCCGGCCTCCCCTCTACCCTGCCCTGACCTCCCCTCCCCCCACCCGCCCTCCCTTGACCCCCATCCTCCCCTCCCCTGCTCTTGCCTCTGAGCTCTGTCTGGTTCTCGCTGTGGACGGGTTCTAATTGAAAGCTGTGCTGGGCTGTTCTCTGGGAGGCTCTAGATAACAGTGATTTACAGGAGACAACAGGGAACGTCTCCTCGCAGTTGGGGTATGGCTGTAGAGGGCAGGTGTGGGAGCAGGTGTGGGGGACAGGTGTTGGGGATAGGTATGGGCTATAGGCATGGGGGAACAGGTGTACAGGGCAGGTGTTGGGGGGTGGGTGTGAGAGAGAGGTCTTGGGGACAGAGGTGGGGGAGAGGTGTTGGGGGCCAACTGTGAGGGAGGGTGTGGGGGCCAGGTGTGGAGGCAGGTGTGGGGGCCAGGGGTGGGGGCAGGGGTGAACACTCGCCTTCTTTGGGGTGCTGTGCTCCCTGGGCTGCCCCAGCCTGGCCCCTCCCCTCTCTCTCTCACTCCCACCTGTCCTGAAGGGTGTCCAGGGGACTCGGGCAGCACCTAGTAGGGGTCTCACCTCCCACCCTGCAGAAGAACAGTCACCTGGCCACACCTGGCTGCAGGGGACGCTCAGGACTGTAGTCTCGCTTGTTTGTTCTGGGGCCCGCTGGGCGGTTCTCTGGGCTTGCTCCTGGCCCTGTGCTCAGGGCTCACTCCTGGTGTGCTCAGAGTACAAGGTGGGGCGTTGGGGATCACACATCTTAACCTGGGGGACTGATGCCTTTGGGGTGGTGGCCATGTGCTCGGCTGGAAATCGTGGGGAGAGTATTCGGGGTCATTCAGCGTTGCCCATGACAGAGTGCAGGGCAGGTGAGCGTGAGGCGATGCTGATAGAGCCAGCTGGGCACCAAGTCCTGACAGTCCTGAGACCTGGGCGCCTGGGTCCAAGGGGGGCACGTGGGAACGTTGCTGGTGGTTCTAGAGTTCTCCATCCCAGCCTTCCCTTGCCCGGGCAGGGCGGGAGTGAGCCAGCTGCCCCATTCTCCTCCCCAGAGCACCTGAAGGAGCGCCTGGAAGCCGAGCTGGCCCACCTGCCCAAGGTGCGCCTCATCCGCGCCACCAAGAGGGAGGGCCTGGTGCGTGCCCGGTTGCTCGGTGCTTCGGGGGCCAAGGGCGACGTCCTCACCTTCCTGGACTGCCACTGCGAGTGCCACGAGGGCTGGCTGGAGCCGCTGCTGCAGAGGTGCGTGGGCGGTGCCCAGTGGGAACACGGGAGACCCAGCTCCGTGGGCCTCGGGCTCGGCCTGGCTGCCCCGTCCCCCAGTCTCAGGCCACGGCTCCATCCCTGGTCACATGATCAGGGACCCTGGGCTGGGTGCCTTCGAGGGCATCAGGTGCTGCTGTACCCACGGCTTGCTGGTACAGGGGAGTTGCTTTTACTGCCGCTGGTCAGGTGCCTGAATCGAAAAGTGCTGCCGTGGGCAGAGAGGCCAAGAACAGGATGGTGTGGATCTTATCAGATCACAGCCCTAGGCAGCACATTTTGGTCGTCTTTCCTTCATGCTGGGCTGACTTTCCCAGGTCATCCAGTACCTGTGTTACCTGGGGCTCCTCAAGTCTGAAGGGACCCACAGAAATGGTGATTCACAGTAATTTCTCTTATGTATTTATTTATTATTTACTTTTTGCTTTTATGGGTCGCACCCGGCAATCGCAGGGGGTCACTCCTGGCTCATGCACTCAGGAATTATTCCTGGTGGTGCTCAGGGGATTCTATGGGATTCTGGGAATCAAACCCGGGTCAGCCGCGTGGAAGGCAAAAGCCCTACCCACTGTGTTATGGCTCCAGCCCCTGTATGTTTTTTTTGGAGGGGGGAGTTGTGTGTGTGAAGGGGCTTACCCGTGAGTGCTCAGGGCTTACTCTTGGCTCTGCTCAGGGATCATTCCTTGTGGTGTTCAGGGGACCACATGGGGTGCCGGGGATTGAACCAGGGCAGCCACCTGTCGGGCAGGCACCTTCCCTGGGGTCCTGTGTCTCTGGCGTCCACCTTCCTTAGCGTCACTAGGAAACCATGAGCAGAATCATGGACAGGAAGCAGATGGCCCTCTCCTGGGTTATTTTTTATCTTCTTACCCCTGTAGTCTTAAACTACGCTTTTAAGTATCATTCTTTGAAAGGGTTTTAAATGCAGTGGGGAAGGGAACCACTCCAGGCTGCCCCTCCCCCAGTCCCAGCTTCCTCCCTCCTCTTCCTCCCTCCTGATGCTGCATCACTGTAGTCAGCCACTGGGTCGTCCACCCCCAGACTCCTCCAGGTGGGCTGTGCACCCATATGGCGTGGACAGGATGCGAGGGGGTTCAGGGTCTGCGCAGCTGGCCTCTGGAAGCACACGCACCCACTGTCTCCTCTCCCAGGTGTGGGTGTCCATCATCTGGCCCCCAGCCTCACCCTGCTGCTCTCTGCCCTCCCCATCCCTGTCCTCACCCACTCTGGCTCCCTTCATGGCTTCTTTCTCTTCCCCAGCTTCAAAGAGGGTCCCGGCAGCTGGACTCCCAGGGGCCGAAGCCAGTGCCAGGGGCTGAGAGCAGAGTCATCATAGTGTCTTGCTCTCCCTCTGAATCCCAGGCTGGAGGGTGGCATTGGGGACCGATGCCATGCAGGGTCCAGAAGCAGGGGACCTGAGGGCACACACTGGCCCTCAGTGGAGTGGGAGCGAGCACAGCTTGGAAGGGGGGGCGTTCCTGGTCACCCCGTCCCTGGCCATATCTGGTGTGTGTGTGTGTGTGTGTGTGTGTGTGTGTGTGTGGTCACTGCAGGATCGGGGAGGAGGAGACGGCGGTGGTGTGCCCCGTGATCGACGTGATTGACTGGAACACTTTTGAGTACCTGGGCAACTCCGGAGAGCCTCAGATCGGTGGCTTTGACTGGCGGCTGGTGTTCACGTGGCACGTGGTCCCTGAGCGGGAGCGGAAGCGGATGCGGTCCCCCATCGATGTCATCAGGTCAGGACTGGCTGGGAGCATAACACCCACCCCCAACTGCAGCAGACACCCCGGGGGAGGGCAGGGATGCTTCGCTGGGGCCCCATCTGGTTTTGTTCTAAAGCATCTGCTGATTATTTTTTTACTCTACACCCACCCCGCTCTAAGTGTGGGGTTCATATTCATTGGCCTATTTTGTTTATTTAAAAACAAAGGTGAGGGGGCTGGAGAGAGAGTTCAGTGGGTAGGGCGCTTGCCTTGCAGGAGTTTGCCCTGGGTTCGATCCCCCAGGCACCCTGTTATGGTTTCCCGAGCACCGCCAGGAGTGATTCCTGAGTGCAGAGCCAGAAGTTGCTCCCGAGCATTGCCGGGTGTGGTACCAAAGCCAAAGCCAAGACAAGATAAATAAAAATAGGGTGAAGTATGTATCCTAAAATGTTCTGCTCTGACCGTTCTTAAATATATAACTTGGGAGACTCAAGCGCGCTTTTCCCTCGACCTCGCAGAATCTCTCCAACCGTCAGGCGGTGCGTGTCAATCCCAGCCCCTAACGGCTCCATGGCCTCTAACACACCCCCACAAAAACTTTCCCCCTTCCAGATGCCTCACGCGAATGAGGCCACCACGCTTTGTCCCTTCGCGTTTGCCTTCTTGCCGGTCCCGAGATGTTTGCCTTGGGAACCCATAATTCTGCCTTGTGTCAACGTGGCCGGTTTTGTTGGCCCCTTCACCTCCGGTGGGTGTGTCCGCCGTCCAGGAGTTGTGTGCCATGCACCCGGGAGGACTGATATCACAGGTGCCCTGCCCCCTGGACTGGTGCCAGTCTCCAGGGCCCGAGGTGGCTGGCTGCCACTTCCGGCTGTCCAAGTGGGCGTGGGGTTCTGGGTCAGGTGGCGACTCCATGGTGACGACTCTGAGCACTTAGTGGCAGGCCTCTGTGGGACTGAAGCCAGTTAGGGGATGGGTGAGGGCGCAGGGTGAGGGCGGCCGAGAGCCAGCGTTGGTCAGTGGGTGAGCCTGGGTCTGAGCCCGGCTGCTCGCGTTCTGTTTCATTTGTTTGGCTTAGTTTTCGGGCCACACTTGCTGAGGCTCAGGGTTACTCCTGGCTCTGCACTCAGGAATTACTCCTGGTGCCTCGTGGTGAGGGAGCTGGTGGGCACAGGATGGGGTGCAGGGACCAGGCATGTGTTAGGAGGCTCTGCAGACTTCCCCGTCAGAAATGCGGGCGCAGGAGAAGACGGAGGCTGAGACTGGGGGGTGGGGGGACCTCAGGGGCGGTGGGGGGATTTGGAGAACCTGATTGACATCTGGGAAAAAGGACGGATTGAGGGTGACACCCGGATTGCTGGAGTGGCCACTGGGGGGCCGCTGGCATTGCCCCTCACACAGCAGATTTAGAGACTGAGGCAGAGGAGGAGGGATCACGTGTCAGGTCACAGATGCAGCCTGTGATGTCGAGACATACTCCCTCCCTCCAACCCCTCCCCCAGTGCACACATATGAAGACATGTCCACACACCCACACACATGGACAAATGCAGCAGCTTCATGGTCAGTTGCCTGCCCCTCCCACAGTCTCATCTCAGTTTTTTTTTTTTAATGTAGGAGTACTGCTATTTATTCAGCCACTGATTAGCTGATTGAATTGTGCATGAACTCCACACATCATCTCAGCTTTCTTGCATGTTTTAGTCACCCTGTTCCCTAGTCTTATACCCTAAAGTCATGTGAAAGTGCTCTCATGCTGGCACCCCTCCCTCCCTCCCTCTCTCCTTCCCTCCCTTCCTTCCTTCCTTCCTTCCTTCCTTCCTTCCTTCCTTCCTTCCTTCCTTCCCTCTCTCCCTCCCTCCCTCCCTTCCTCCCTCCCTTTTCCCTCCTTCCCTTCTTCCTTCCTTCCTTCCTTCCTTCCTTCCTTCCTTCCTTCCTTCCTTCCTTCCTTCCCTCCCTCCCTTCCTCCCTCCCTTTGCCCTCCTTCCCTCCTTCCCTCCTTCCCTCCCCCCTCCTTCCTTCCTTCCTTCCTTCCTTCCTTCCTTCCTTCCTTCCTTCCTCTCTCTCTCCCTCTCTCTCTCTCCCTCCCTCCTTCTCTCCCTCCCTTTTCTCTCTCTTCTCTCCCTTCCTTGGTCTTCCCTCCCTCCTGTTCTTCCATCCCCCACCAAGGAGTCCCACTGGCCTTTCCCCGTGTACTCTGAGCCTGCAGTGCTGGGAGGACCCCCCAGTGCCACCGCAGGGACCCGGCTGCCACCAGTTTCCCACACCCACATCTGCACTCTGGGGTGCTTCCCTTCCAGCTTTTGACCTGAGCCACCTCTGGGGGCCGGGGAAGACGCCAGAATCGAGGGCTTCAGGGAAATGTGCTAGAATCATCTTTCATGGCCTCCAGCAGCCCCCAGCTGCATCTGTGAGTGCCTGGGCTCTGCTGTGAGACCACCACCACCGCCCACCCCGCCACCCTCCCAGCCATGTGCTCTCTCCGGGTCCATCTGCAGCTGCCGGGGTCCTCTCATGCTTAGACTTTGCCCATGGTGAGGCCTTCCCAGCACCGTTCATTCCTCTGTACTGGACAAGCCCCGGGCCTGTACCCTCTCCGCCCTGGAACAGCTGTCCCTGCCCTTGACCCCTCGTGAGCACATGCATCACACGCAGTTCTGTGATTATTTGGAGGGGTCTGGGAGCTTCCCCAGCTAGGACTCCCAGCAGAGCCCCCCCACCACCAGTGCTCCCAGACTGATGAAGGCAGATCAGCCCTGGGTAAGGGTTCCTGCGGCTGGCACTGAGACGCAGGTGTTGCAACTCTTCCAGGTCCCCGACAATGGCTGGTGGGCTGTTTGCTGTGAGTAAGAAATATTTTCAGTATCTGGGGTCTTATGATACAGGAATGGAAGTTTGGGGCGGAGAAAACCTCGAATTCTCCTTTCGGGTAAGTGTTCTAGTCTCCCCTGGTGCGTGTTTAGCCTCTCCTGTCGCTCTCTTGTGGCTCTGTGTCTGTCTCTGTCTCTTTCTGTAGCCGTGCATGGCTGTCTGTCTGTCTGTCTGTCTGTCTCTCTCTCTCTCTCTCTCTCTCTCTCTCTCTCTCTCTCTCTCTCCCCATGCCTCTGTCTCTCTGGATTTCATGAAAACCTGTTGGGCTTTCCCCCGCCTTGGCCTTTTGTCCAGTGTCCTGAGAGTGGACACGTGGACAGCCTATATATGTGCTTCTCTCATCTGACCTTCTCACAGAACGTGCTTTTAACTAGAAAAGCAGGAGGCAGGGAAGGAACCTCCTAGGTCCCCTGGTTCTTTTCTTTCCCTCTGCTGCCCTGGGCCGAGGTTGGCCCCAGACACAGCATCCTGCCTCCTGGTCCACCTTTGGTCGCCAGGCTTGCTGAGTCTTTAGGAAGTCGCCTCTGTATGTAGATAGCAGGGTGACATTCAGAGTTTGACACCGAGAAGAATTCTCGGGAGAGCTTGTTAAAGGGGTCAGGTTCAGTGGCTGGACGTGCAGGCAGGAGCAAGAGTCACATTCTAAACGCGCGCACCCCCTGAGGCCGCCCTCTGCCCTCAGAATCCCCGAGTGACAGTTCTGTGAGAACCCCCGCCATTTCCGTGGGATTCCCAATGAACTTGTGTCTGGCATATTACATTTCAAGACCATATGCCATTGGTCATGCTTTTTGATGATGTTAAAAATTATTGTGTAATTTTTTTTTTGGCTTTTTGGGTCACACCCTGCGATGCTCAGGAGTTCCTCCTGGCTCTGTGCTCAGAAATTACTCCTGGCGGTGCTTGGGGGACCATATGGGATGCTGGGAATCAAACTTGGGTCAGCCCCGTGCAAGGCAAACGCCCTACCCACTGTGCTATCGCTCCAGCCCCTCTGTTTAATTTTTGTGAGAAATTTTTTCATCTTTTCTGCTTGCTTGTTTTGTTTTGGGGCCACACACAGTGGTTCTCAGGGGATACACCGGGCTCTACCCTCAGAGATGACTCCTATCTGTGCTCGGGGGACCATATGGGATGCCGTGGATTGAACCGGGTTGGCCCCATACCAGGCAGTATGCTCTACTCGCTGTACTAGTGTTCTGGCCCCTGGAATTTTTTTTTTTTTTAAGTAATAGAACATCCCAGCTTTGCATAAAGAGTGAACCAAATAGAAATTTTATCTTCCACGCAGGGCTTTCCTTCTCCCATCGTAAGGTACTGTCCTTTTGGGTCTTTTTTTTTTCAAAAAAAATTTTCTTTTTTAATTTGGTTGAAACCCAAACTCAGGGCTCACTCCTGGCGGTGCTCAGGGGATGGTCGGAGCTGCCAGAAACTGAACCTGGGTCAGGTACATGCAAGGCAGGTGCCCAACCCCATTGTACTCTGTCTCCAGCGCTTCAGCTGCTTTTCTGGATGGTTCATCCTGGGGGCCAGTGGTGGGGTGTGGTGGTTCACACCCCTCTGCCCTTGCATGAGTCTACCTCGTTGGGTTTTGAGGTGTGCTTTTAATGGTCTTTCTGCCTCTCCTCCAGGTGCCAGGCTGCTCTTCCTGTGTCTGGCAGTTCCTCTTTCTCCCTTCCCAACTTCTCTCCTTCCTAGCTGCTTTCCTCTCTTCTCTGGCTAGGAGATCAGGTAATCCGCCCGTGTGGACTGTCACCCACCCACGGGCTCCTGGCCGGGCCCACTCTGGGCCCTGTGAGCCCTGCGCATGAGCAAGCAGTGCATGGGCTTGTGGTCTTGGTTCTGGTGGCTAGACCTTGGGGCCGCTCCCTTGTTCTTTGGCTGCGTTCTGGAGCCCGCGTGTGCATGGGGGTGGGTGAGGCAGGGATGGGTGGTGGGGTGAGGAGTGGGGTGGGGGGGGTCGCCTGTTTCATGCCCTGGAGGGTGCAGTCTTGGCAGTGTCTCTTTGGGTGATGCTTGGTGCCCGGCCTCTGTCCTCAAGGGAAAGCCGTGCCGATGGACCCGCTCCCCTCACCCAGCCACTCCTCTGCCCTGCAGATCTGGCAGTGCGGTGGGACCCTGGAGACGCACCCCTGCTCACACGTCGGCCACGTCTTCCCCAAGCAAGCTCCCTACTCACGCAAAAAGGCTCTGGCCAACAGTGTCCGCGCTGCCGAAGTGTGGCTGGATGAGTTCAAGGAGCTCTTCTACCACCGCAACCCCCACGCACGCCTGGTGAGCTCCTCCCGCCCGCCCCGTCTGCCTTCACCCCTGCAGGCCTCCTCAGAACCAACCCCCCCCCTTCCTCTTCCCTCCTCCCTCCACCCTCCATGCCCGCACATCCACTTCCGGAGGCAGAAGCTGCGGTGGGCCTTGGTGAGGCCAGTGGGGGACTGCTTGATTCCTCCATGGTTGTGATGATCCTCTGCTGATGTCTCTTGATGCCCACCCGGCCTTGAGAGTCACACCCAGCAGCTCTTGCTGCCCACCCCAGGTTGGGGGACCCTGAGCTTGTTGCTTCTAGGAAAATCAGGGCTGGGTTTCGGCTACCTCCAGCCACTGCATGTTCTTCAGATCGTGGGTATTTCTGTCATGGAGGGGAGGTCAGGCCCCATGCCATGGTCGCCAGGGCCTCTTCCTGGCTCTGCACTCAGGGATCATGCCTGGTGATTTTTTTCTGGGAACCAAATGAGGTGGCAGGGACCAGGGCAGGGTGGCCACCTGCCAGGCAAGCGCCCTGCCCTTTGCACGAGCTCTCTGGTTCCTTTTTACTTTGGACCCCCACCTGGAGGTGCTTGGCATCTTTCCTTGACTCAGTGCTGGGGGTTCCCTGCCGTGCCGGGACTCGGACCTGGGCCTCCTGTTTGTGCTCTTGACCGTTGAGCTATCTCTTCAACACAGAGTATGTATGTGTGTGTGTGTGTGTGTGTGTGTGTGTGTGGTGCCGGGGATGGGTCATGCATATGTGTGCTATCTCATCTCATCCCAGCCCCGTCTCTTGGCTTTGCATGCGTGTCTACCTCAGCCAGCCTTCCTCAATCTGTCCCATTGAAGAAGTGCTGTGTGTCCAGGGATGCCCACAGGGCTGGGGGTTTGGGGCTCCCATCATGTCCTAGGTGCTTCATGACCATCGAGGTGCACTGGGTTTCCCCAGGCTGGAGCTGGGCAACGGGGAACCCTGTGTGTGTGTGTGTGTGTGCGCGCACATGTGTGTGTGTGGGGGGGGGTGGTACCCCGGCTGCCACAGCTCTCTCCCTAGGCACCCACCCACACCTGCACAGCTGGGGCTTGGGGGCATCGTCACGCCCCAGGACTGGGGTGGGGTGGAGTGGGGGACTGTGGAGGACCTTCAGGCTGACCGCATGGACCCCCCTCAGGAGTCCTTTGGCGACGTGACCGAGAGGCAGCAGCTCCGTGAGAAGCTCAAGTGTAAGGACTTCAGGTGGTTCCTGGAGAACGTGTATCCTGAGCTGCACGTGCCCGAGGACCGGCCCGGCTGCTTCGGGATGGTGAGAGGGCTGCGCCCGGGGGGGCTGCCAGCAGGGTCCCCACGCCCTGCATGGGGCAGGTCCTCGGTGGGGTCCCTTGTGCTCCCCAGCCCCGGCCCTCCCCTGTTGTATCCCCTGGCTCTTCCCCTCCCCCGGCTGGGTTTGGCTCTCAGCTCGCTCACGTGGGAGCATGTGAACGAGAGTCAGGTTCTGCCTGTGATTTTGTGCATGAGGAGACTGAGGCTTGCCTGGACTCTCCACACCACCTCTACCCATCACATCACTTCACACCCGAGTCTCAGTGTCTGGGCCAGTTAGTCATTCCCACCGCAGGGGTCCTTGGGGACCAGTGGGGGGGTACAGGAGGATGGGGCAGGAAAAGGAGAGTCACTTCTGTTGTTCACCAAAAGAAAGAGAAAAGAATTCTTTGGGGGGGGGGGCAGAGAGATAGTCCCGGGGTTAAGGTTAAGCTTTGCCCTCTGTGTGGCCAACCCTAGTTTGATCCCCGGTGCCAGACGTGGTCCCCTGAACACCATCAGGAGTGGCCCTTGAGTACCTCGAAGTATGGCCTAAACACCCGTTCCGCCCCACCTCCAAACCCCTGCACACAAATGGAAAGTATTTGGGCTGTGGGGGTTGGGGTTGGGCTTCACCCGGTGGTGCTCAGTGGTGACTCATGATGGTGCTGGCATCAGACTGGGGCTTGGTTGCCTGCCTGGCAAGTGCCCTCACCCCCCAGACCCTCTCCGGCCCCAGTGCCATTCACTCTGGAGAGAAATCACGCCAAGGTAGAGACTCCCCTCTCCTGGGCTGCACGGCTGGGCGACGCTGCTTCCCCCATTCTGGAAGCCCTTTGGTCAGAGCCCAGCGGGCTTTGAATACGATCAAATCCTTGGCCACTGTGAAGTGTCCAGGTCTCCCGAGGTGCCGAGAGGATCAGGAGGCCGTCGTGGGCTGCCTGCCCCAGGGAGTGTGTCACTCTTGCTCGCCCTGCCTCTGTCTCCTGCATCCCCACCCCACCCCGTCCCACTGCATTTCTCTTTTGTCCAAGCGCAGCCCTGGAGGGGATGATGGGGCATGATGCTCTTCAGGCCTTTGCACGTGACCAAACTGGGCACTATCCCCAGCACCCCATAAGATTCCCCACCAAGCACCACCAGGTGTGATCTCTGAGCACAGAGCCAGAAGTAAGCCCTGAGCATTGCTAGATGTGATGGTCCCCTCCTCCCCCCCCAAAAAATAATCCAAAATGAATAAATTAAGGAAGCTCTTATTTACTTATTTGTTTATTTTTGGTGTGGGGGCCATGCCTGGCGGTGCTCAGGGATTTACTCCTGGCTCTGCGCTCAGGGATCACTCTTGGCGGTGCTCAGGAGGACCTGTGGGGTGCTGGGGTTTGTCCATGTGCAAGCCCAGCCATCTGACCTGCTGTACTATCGCTCAGGTCCCAGAAGCTCTTACTTTTGGGCCTGGTTCTTGTGCCGGGCCCTCCTCACTCCGTTTCTCCTCCCGCAGCATCCTGGGTTGACTCAGTTGTGTGTAAACCTGAACTGGAAACTCCCCTTATGTTTCTTGGTAGCTCCAGAATAAAGGACTGCAAGGACTCTGCTTTGACTATAATCCTCCTGATGAGAACCAGATTGTGGGGCACCAGGTCATTCTGTACACCTGTCACGGCCTGGGCCAGAACCAGGTAGGCGACGCTTCTCTCTGGAAAAAGGCAGCAGGGGGCCCTGGGTTCAAGGTCTTGGGAGCCTCTTAAAGAGGGAAATTGGGGAAAATCTATGTGTGTTGTTGTTTTTTAATTTTTTTTTATTGAATCACTGTGGTATACAGTTACAGGGCTTTCATGATTGAGTTTCAGTCATACAATGATCAAACACCCATCCCTCCGCCAGTGCTCATTTTCCACCACCAATGTTCCCAATATCCCTCCCACCACCCCTATCCCCTGCCTCTATGGCAGACAATTTCCTTCTTACTCTCTCTCTGCTTTTGGGCATTATGGTTTGCAGTACAGTACTGAGAGGCCATTATGTTTGGTCCTTTATCTACTTTCAGCACATCTATGTGTGTTTTTTAAAAAGTGAATATTTGACCTCTTCAATTTATAAAGGTAATAGAGACTCATTGTAAAAATATTTGAGAAATAGAAAGTGAAGCAAATGTGCCTGAGAGGACCTGGAGAAACCGCCTTTGGATGAAGATGAGTTTCTTGTCCCTCTTTCTCCTATGCACAGACTCTGGCTTCTTTTTTTTAACTAGTTGTCATCATTGTATGTTTATGGTTTATATTTGATGATTTCCTCTTGCATGATCCATGCATGCTCAGATGTCTTTTTTGGGAATATTGTGCCTTTTGGCCTCTTGGTGGGTCACATCATGTAGTTCTTTGTTTGTTTTTATTTTTGTTTTTGAGTCACACCTGGGGTTACTCAGGGGTTACTCCTGGCTCTGCACTCAGGAATCACTCCTGGCAGTGCTCAGGGGACCATATGGGATGCCAGGGATTGAACTCAGGTCAGCAAGGCTAACACCCTCTCCACTGTATTATCCCTCTGGCCCTGCACCATGTAATTCTGGAGCGGTGAGATGAACTGATTCTCTGCCTGCAAAGGTAATACAGACTCATTGTAGAACATCTGGGAAATAGAAAACGAAGCAAGCAGTGCCAGATAGGACCCAGAGAAACCCGTTTGTGCAGTTATGACTAACCGTGCACCAATACCTACAGTTAGAGCAACAAAAAGGAAAACCCTGCAGATCTGGGTCGGCTCAGGAGGGCACCTACTTGGCCGGAGAGGCTCGATTCCAGCACCCTGTCTCCCTGTGTGACCCAGGCCTGCCCTCTCCCTGGCAGTGCAGTTCATGCCTGCACAGGACATTTTAGTGATTCCACGGTGCCATTGCCTTGGATCAAACTCCCTCAAGTTTGCCGGGAAGAGGCAGAAAAGCCCAGAGAAGAGAAAGGGCAGCTCAGGCCTCAGAGTTGCCCACTCGGCTACTGAAACCGTCCATTTTCTGGCCAGCTCAAGGGTAGGGACAGCGTGGGGTCTCAAACACCCAGGGAAGAAGCAGAGCATGAGAAGGGGACCTTGGGGAACTCTGGCCAGTCACTCACAGACCCTCAAGACTGGACACTCAGGCTCTCTGCCTGGCCCCTGCGCTCTGATCCCGCCTGGTGTCCGTCCATTCCTCCATGGCCGACAGTAACCGTTACCCACGGACGGCTCCTTTGCAGTTCTTCGAGTATACATCCCGGAAGGAGATCCGCTACAACACCCACCAACCTGAGGGGTGCGTGGCGGTGGAGGCGGGCGGGGAGAGCCTGATCATGGAGCTCTGCCAGTACCCGGTCCCCGAGAACCACTACTTCCTCCTGCGCCCGGTGAGTGGGCAGTGTCATCCATGCTGTCAGACTTGGGGCTGTAGTAGACCCTGGAAGTCTCAGGGAGGAGCGGGCACCAGGCATGCTGGGATAAGGGACACCTGGGAATGGGGGTGGGGTGGGATGGGGAACTGTTGGGGCCTTTGTCTTGCAGGATCCCTAATGCTTTGCCTGTCTTCTCTTGTTCACTTGAAGTTGCTGGGGGCTGGGCGGGGATTGAGACCAGCCTGGGGGCTGCTGCTGCTGCTGCTGCGGGAATGGGGTCTCCTTAAAGCAGATGTGAGGGCAGATCCTGCAGGGGGAGGGTTGGGGTGGTGGGGAAACTGTTCTACTTCTGTAAACCTCACCCCCATTTTCCCCAGCTCTAGAATCAGGGGGAGCGGCAGGGAGATGGTTACAGGGGTCACCAAAGCACACACCCAGCCCTGGATTTATCCCACGTGGCCCCTCCTGAGCTTCACCATTTGCAGCCCTGGAGGTCCTGAGCATCACTGGGATGGCCCTGGTGGCCCCCAGCACTGCAGGACCTAAGCATCACCTCCTCAGTTCTTAGCATTCAAGCAGATGGCCTGCTTGGCCCAAATCTCCACTGTTTTCTATCCTAAGAGTGGTCTGGAGGACCCCCTCCAGTAAATAAATAACTTAAGAGGTGAACCAAATAAAACGAGGGCAGTACCCAAAGCTTTGGCCAACTCTAGGAAGGACTTGGTGGATAGCCGGCAGCTTCCTTGGAAGCTGTCAAGCCCAGGCAGGGGCGCTGAGTGGTCACTTGTAGCACAGGGCCAGGCAGGGATTTACTAAGGTGCTTGTCCTGTGGGCAGCCATCCCTGGTTCAATCCCTGGCACCACCTCTGGTACCCAGGCCCCTCTAGAAGTGACCCCCGAGGACCCGAACATCCCACCCCCCACAGAAATGTTCCTTGCAGTGTACACTACCCCTGCTGGGGTCTGTTCTCCATCACCGTGGATTTGGAGCGGGCAGTGGATGCAGGCCCAAGAGGCACTAGGTCCCTTAGGCTGTGACCCCCTCTGCTGTGGACTCTTGAGGTGATTTGTAATTCGGCTGTACCTTTGGCTCATTCAAGCACGGTTTGAGCACTGAAGAGGAGACAAATAATAAGAATGAAAAAGGAAAAATAACCAAAAAAAAAACCCAAAAAACCTGTCCTCTTTCCTTGGATTCGTTCTCAGCCTGGCCCCAGGGATGGGAAGATTCTTCTGTCATACTTACAAAGGGTTCATTCTATGTATGAGAAGAAAGTAGAGGACATTTTCTGGTAGAAAAATGTTACAGTTAGGAATGAGAAGTGGAGTCTGGAAGGGTGATGATTCTTGGGTGAGAGGGAGGCTGTATGACAGGCTGTACCTCCGTGCCCCAGACCTTCTGGGTTCCTTCACCCAGTGCAGACATTTCTATATATATATATTTCTGAAAGGACAAAAAAAAAAAAGATCCACAGGCTTAGGAAAACATTTTAAAAAAAATTATTTTCAAATTTTATTTTTTTTGTTTGGGGGCCACACCTGGCGATGCTCAGTGGTTACTCCTGGCTCCGCAATCAGGAACGACTCCTGGCAGTGCTTGGGGGACCATATGGGATGCCAGGGATCGAACCCGGTTCAGCCGTGTGAAAGGCAAATGCTCTCCCTGCTGTACTATTGATCCGGCCCTGCAAGAACACATTTTCAGGAAAAATCCTGTGAGCAATCACTTGTCATTCTCTGAAATTGCCTGTGATCTTTCCTAGGATGGTTCTTTGTTTCACGAACAGTCGAAGAAATGTGTTCAGGCCGAGAAGGAATCCAACGACAAGTTTGTCCCACTCTTACGGGACTGCACCCTCTCAAGCCGTCAGCAGTGGTTCTTCCAGGAACAGATGCTATGACAGGCGGGAGCACACTGGAAGTGAGGGCCCTAGCCCCTGGGTCCAGCAGAGAGGGGCCGGGCTCCCCGACAGAGCGCCCACTCAGCTGCCTGCCTCCGATGCCGTAGGTTAAGGTGGGGTGGGATTCGGTGCATAATGTGAATGCACTTGGTACTGGTTTGGAAACACTTGCCACGGTTCCCAAATACCCCCGTTTTCAGTAACCATCAAATGTTCACTCGTGGTTTTCAGGGAATTAAAATTTTCAAATATTTTTCTATTATTTTTTCCTATTGTGTTGTTTTATTTCCTCTAGAAAAGAGGTATATAATTCAAGTTGGTATTTGCAGTAGTTCCCAGGGCATGTCTGCATGAGTTCCCAGGAAATCAGACTCACGGCTTGTACTTTGCATCCCTTGGTACTACCTCACACGCTGGGTTGGGTGTTTCCTCCCTGTAGATAGGTAAAATCTAGGAATCTGGCATTAGTTCCTTCTGGGCATTGAGAGATTACTCACGTATTTACGTATTTAATAAAAAGACTATTTAGTGGGGCTGAAGCGATAGCACAGAGGGTAGGGCGTTTGCCTTGCACGCGGCCGATCCGGGTTCGATTCCCAGCATCCTATATGGTCTCCTGAGCACCGCCAGGGGTAATTTCTGAGTGCAGAGCCAGTAGTAACCCCTGTGCCAGGTGTGACCCGAAAAGAAAAAAAAAAAGGCTATTTAGTTATTTATTTTGGTGGAGGCCACACCCACTTCTTTGTCAGTCTCCTGGAGAAGAGAATGTTTTCTGTAGATTTCATTGCCATGTTTTTCAGAGGTTCCCATAATATGCTTTCTGAACTTACCACACTCTTTTCAACTTCTTCCTGTTATTTCCAGTAAAAGACAGCACATTTGCATCAGTAGAATTGTAACCCTACCGCCCCCACTGTGATATCATGGAATATCTTTTTTATTTTGCTTACTTTTTTTTTTGTTGTTTTGGGGCCACTTCCCGCAGTTCTTAGGACTTACTCCTGGCTCTGTACTCAGGAATCACTCCTGGCAGTGCTCAGGGGACCATATGGGGTGCCAGGGATTGAACCCAGGTTGGCTACATGCAAGGCAAATGCTCTACCTACCATGCTATCACTCCAGCCCCACATTCTCTTATATTACCCATATATGTGCCATTTGCCTATATGTAGCGAGTCATTTTTCTCTTGCTGCTTTGAGATTTTTCTGTGTGTGTGTGTGTGTGTGTGTGTTTTAACAGTTTAGTATGTCTCTTGGTGTAAACATAGAGTGATAGCACAGCGGGAAGGGCACTGCCTTGCACACAGTCGACCTGGGTTCATCTCCTGACATCCTAGATGGTCCCCCAAGCCCCACCGAGAGTGATTGATTCCTAAGTGCAGAACCAGAAATAACCCCTGAGCATCTCTTGATGTGGCCCCAAAACAACAAAAGAAAAAAGAATAGATGTCTAGGTGTAGTGGATTTGTGTTTATCATCCTTGGGATTCACTGAGATTTTGAGAAAAAGAGCTTTAAAAAGTCAATATGGGATGGTCTTCGTCTTAGCTTTTGCTGCTCCTTTCTCTGTTCTTTAAGTTAGATAATGTCTAATGAGTAATCTTTTCATTTCACATCTTCTGCCATCTCAAACCTGTTGATATCATGAAGCTTTTTTTTTTTCTTTTTGTGTCACACCTGGCAATGCACAGGAGTTACTCCTGGCTCTGCACTCAGGAATTACTCCTGGCCGTGCTCAGGGGACCATATGGGATGCTGGGAATCGAACCCGTGTCAGCCAAGTGCAGGGCAAACGCCCTACCAGCTGTGCTATCTCTCCAGCCCCAACATCATGAAGCTTTGTGAGTTTTTTTGGTCTTAAATTTCAGTTACAGTACTTTCAACTCCAAATATCTCTCTGGTTCTTCAAACATCTGATGATGTCTGTTTCTCTGCTGAGATCCCCAATATATTGATTTCATGTTAACACATGTTCCATTAATCCTTTGAACAGATTTCCTTAGTTCTCAGAATATATTAATAACAGCTTTGAAAGATTTTATGATTCAGCAACTTAAAACAACTCTAAAAGGCCATTGGTTGTTTTTCACCCCTCTCCATTAGCATGAGTTTGCTGCTGATTCAGCCAGTAGGAGAGGGTCTGTTGCTAAATGATATTATTTCTTTTTTAGGGTTCACTGAATTAAATCAGGTCTACCCAGTATAATTTCTTTTGTTGAAAAAGATTTAAGTTTTAAGTTAAAAGTTCAATTGAGACTTAAGTTCAGAGTCAGCTGATGAGGTTAAAAAGTCAACTTCATTTGACATTTAAAAAGTTAAAAGTTAACTGATTAGCAGCCTTATGCCATCCTACAAAATTTGTTTTTTTAAAATGTTATCCCACTATCTTCCAGGTTCTGCTCACTCTCGAGGGGAAGGAACTGTGGGGGCCAGGACACAAGAATTCTGCAGATTGGCCTGGAATTTTGCTTTCCCTGGTCCAGTGGGTTATTTGACTAATATTGTAGATGATGCAGGTGCATTTGGAACTGGTTTCAGAGGTGCCCCTCTTTCTGGAAGATGCCTGCTTACAGGTGAAAAGATTCCCTTTTAAAAACCTGTAACAATTCCCGGGGCCGGAGTGATAGCACAGTGGGTAGGACGTTTGCCTTGCATGTGGCTGACCCGGGTTCGATCCCCAGCATCCCATATGGTCCCCCAAGCACCGCCAGGAATAATTTCTGAGTGCAAAGCCAGGAGTAACCCCTGAGCATTGCTGGGTGTGACCCAAAAAGAAAAAAAAACTCTATCAATTCCCAAGAACATTTTCGGGGACTGAGGGTAGGGAACCATTCCCGGTAGTGCTTGGGGGTTACTCCCATCTCTGTATTGAGGGGTTGCTCCCAGGGGTGTTGGGACCAACCTTCATGCAAAGCAGGTGCTCAGTCTCCCAGGAAACTGAACCTTTGTTGCTGGACAAGCCCCTTTGTGTCAGCTAGGCAGGATTCATTTTATTTAAATGGGCTACTTACATGTTTCTTGATGGTCAAATATGGATGAAACATAACATTCCCAATTCATTGGCTTCCTTTTTCTCTTTCGGCAAAGCAGTTATTTTCAGGCTTATTACGATGTGCACAGACGTACCTGTGCCTTGTGAAGAGGCAGGATCCGGCCCAGGAGGCGAGATGCTGCCACCTCACAAGGTCCAGGTGGTGCCAATCTCATGGACCAGGGATGGTGTTTGAGGAACAGCATATTCCTGTGGGACTAAGGGAGAGGCATCAACCCTGGGTCTGACCAGTCCCTACTGTATTACTCTGACGTGCCCACGAGATGGTGCTGTCCACCTAGGAAACCTAATCCCCTTAGCCATCAAATCTGTAGCACTGTAGCACTGTCCTCCCATTGTTCATTGATTTGCTGGAGTGGGCACCAGTAACGTCTCCATTGTGAGACTTGCTGTTACTGTTTTTGGCATATTGAATATGCCATGGTAGCTTGCCAGGCTCTGCCGTGCGGGCGGGATACTCTCGGTAGCTTGCCAGGCTCTCCGAGAGGGACAGAGGAATTGAACCCGGGTCGACCACTTGCAAGGCAAACACCCTACCTGCTGTGCTAACGCTCTGGCCCCTCAAACCTATTGGCAGAAAATCCCTCCAAATCGTAGGCCCAGGGATTCAGATCTGGAAGGCACCAGAAACCTGTGCTGGTGTAGCCGGCAGGATCAGCGGGAGGCCAGCGAGGGAAGAGAGTTGGCCTGAAATATCATAGCAAGGTTGAGAGAGCTTCTTCCTGCTTAGCATCTTCCACATGGGTTAGGGACCTGGATTCTAAAATAGCCAGCGTGTTCTCTACTTAAAGGGTGCCGTCAGCTGTCTCCATGGGAAATCCCCCTTTCCTCTATGGCACTGGACTAGACTTTAAAGTCAAGCTACTCACCTCAGGGCCAGGGAGACAGTCCAGTGGGTAAGGTTTTTGCCTCGCATGCGGTTGATGAGTGTTTGATCTCCATACCCCATTTGATCCCTGGAGCCTCCAGGAGAGAACCCTTGAGTGCAGAGTCAGCTGTGAGTCCTCAGCACCCCCTGGTGAAACAAAAGGAGAAACAAATAGAGTAAATGACCCCTCTTGAGAAAAAGCCTCTAAAGGCTTTGCCACTTGCTTTGTTGTGTCTGAGTCACAGTGTATACTGGGCCCAGGGCTGGACACTGCCCTGCTCCAGTCTGCTGAGGAGTGAGTTCTCATGCAGCATTCTGTGTAAACTCAAAAAGGGCACAGCTTCATCTATTAACGGAAAGGTTAGTGGTTCAGGCCCACCCAGGGATGCCAGATGTGTAAACTCAAAAAGGGCACAGCTGCGGTGGCGACTCTGTCTCTCCCGCCACCCGCGTGTGATAGTCTCACCCTGCTTCCCCCACCCAGGGGAGGTAAGGAAGGAAACGAGGGCCAGGCTGGTTGGTCTTAGTTGCAGTTTATTCCAATCCTCTCTCCATTCACTCCGGTCTCTCTCCTCTGCCTCCCCTTGCCCATTCTACAGTCTCATTATATCTCCCAGAATGAAGGATTGTGGTAACAATTACAGGTGTGGTCACAATCAATAGGGGTAGAATTCTTTCCCTCAGGGAAAGCTGCTCCCAGGACAGATCCTCTCTGAGCAGGACGACCCACCCTAGAGCGGTATCCCATGAGTGTGTTTCTCCTCTCCTTGTCCAACAAGCATATTAGCATATATAATATAAATCATTTTGTCCCACAAGCATATTAGCATATATAACATACATCATTTTGTATGGATACAGTAAGAAATACCTTAAACTTATAGAATTGCCCTCCTAGGGCCATCTCGATCTCAGACTACAGTGCTCAGGCCAGATAGTCTTTCCCTCCCCTACCAGGATCCTAGTCTCGTTGTTTACTTTTGGATCATGACAGCATTTGTCTATGATCAAACTCTTAACTTATAGTTAAGAATCGTGGCACTTTGGCCTGGCCCATTTCGATACCAGGGTAGCTCACCAC